AGAGAGATTAATCAGGGCTGGGCGTGGTGGCTCCTGCCTGTAATCCCAGCACTTTGGGAGGCCGAGGCGGGTGGATCACGAGGTCAAGAGATCGAGACCATCCTGGTCAACATAGTGAAACCCCATCTCTACTAAAAATACAAAACATTAGCTGGGCATGGTGGTGCATGCCTTTAATCCCAGCTACTCGGGAGGCTGAGGGAGGAGCATTTCCCGAACACATGAGGCAGAGGATGCGGTGAGCCGAGATTGTGCCATTGCAGTCCAGCCTGGGTAACAAAAGTGAAACTCAGTATCAAAAGAAAAAAAAAGGCATATTGCCTCCATGGTGGAAAAAAAAAATAGCCACTGACTAATAGCTGCTCTTATCCTGCCCCAAAAAATTAAAAAGCGAGCTTGAAAACAAGCAAATTGTTTTTAAGTAGATTTATTGAATACCATACAATGCTAAACAAATTTTAACACAAAATGCAAAAAGTCCAGCACTCAATGAGTTACAATGGGCAATGTCTAACACCAAATCAAATAATATTAGGAATGCAGAGAGACAGAAAACTGAGATCCATGATGAGAAGGGGAAAAAATTCAAACCACTTTAACTGACATATGAAGGACACATCAGATGAGAATTTAAAAATAATAGGAAGGCTGGGCGTGGTGGCTCACACCTGTAATCCAAGCACTTTGGAGGCCAAGGCAGGTGGATCCCCTGAGATCGGGAATTCAAGACCAGCCTAACCAACATGGTGAAATCCCCGTCTTTACAGAAAATAAAAAATGAAAAAAATATAAAAATAGGAAGGACACAGATGACAGAATGTGCAGACAAGAACATTGAAAAAAATATGACTATATTCCTTTAATTAAAGAAGATAGACCGGATGCAGAGGCTCTGCCTGTAATCCCAGCCCTTTGGAAGGCTGAGATGGGTAGGCCACTGAGGTCAGGAGTTCTAGACCAGCCAGACCCATGGGGTGAAACCCCATCTCTATGAAAAATATAAAAATGAGCTAGGTGTGACAGCACTTGGCTGTAATCCCAGCTATTCAGGAGGCTGAGGCACAGGAATCGCTTGAACCCGGGACGTGATGGTTGCAGTGAGCTGAAATCTCACCGTTGCACTCCAGCTTGGGCAACAGAAGGAGACTCTGTCTCAAAAACTAGAATAAAATAAAATGAAGAAGTTAGGGGAACATATGAAATGATTAGGAGTTAAATAGAAGATATTTAAAAAAGACCTAAATTAAATTTAGATGAAAAATAAAGCCTGAGATGAAAATGTACTGGCGGGGGATGATCCATTTGGCTGTTTAGGAACAGCTCAGGATTCCAGCTCCCAGTGAAAGTGCAGAGTGTGAGTGGACGCCGCATTTTTATTGCCCACAGACCAGGAGATCCCCAGGCGGAGGAGTCCCACATGTCGCCTGTGCAGCTGTTTTGGCTGGTGTGGGTGCTTTGCGCTGCGTGGCTGCTTTGTCAGCAACCAAGCGCGGCAGTTCTCCGTACAAAATACACTGACCTAGGTGGCCTTTTAGCTGGCGATTGGAGCCCTGGGAAGTTGCCCATTCTTCTGTTTAAGAAGGGGACTGAACAGGGAGCCAGTCCAGGAGATTCCTGGGCAAAAAGCGCTAGGAATCTCAGCGCCCTTGTTTAAGCCAGCGCAGTGAGTCGCTGCAGGGGAAATCACACAGATTCCAGCGCGTTTTCAACAGGCGGCTGGAACACCTGGGAGAGAGTTGAATGTTCCACTAAAAAAAAAAGAAAAAGGCTATTAGGCAGGGATCCAGG